TTTAGAGAGCAACAGGTTGAGGGGAGGAGGACAGAATTTACACCTTACAGAAAAATGGAGGCAAAGGAGGCCGATGCATGATTGGGTGTGTCTGGAGCCAGCTAGCTTATAATGGTCTCTCACCAATCAGAACAGCTCAGCCCTAGGGCAGGAGATCCAAAGTTGGATAGCTGATCACTTCCAGTTGAATCAACCACTCAATCAGTAAACATTTATTAGGCACTTACTATGTGCCAGGCACCGTGCTAAGGGCTGAATGGCTCACAGGTTCTCCTTGGAGAAGCAAAGGAGTTGGCTGGTGGAGTTTATGGAGATGGTTTTATCATGAATTCAGAGGCAACAAAAAACATCATTTCACGGGACATTTGGTCATTTCAAATGGCAATGCTCATGATAAGTTTTTGCACAAAGATCATAATAAAAATAGTCTCACAGCTTATGGGTCAACAGCTGTTGGAGGGGATGAGAAGATAAAGAAAGTTCACTAAGAACTTAATAAGATCCTCCAAATTAAATCAGTCTGTTATTTAATAATCTTCAATGAAAAAGTAGGCATGAGGACGATGGAGAAAGAATAACAAATGGGATAACATGGATAGCACTTGTAAAGTATAAAGCCTTAAATAAATGCTAATTATTATTATTTTAGAACGCATGGTTAAGGAATAATGAACAAGAGACAAAAAGGGTTATAGACTTACACTGAAGCCTCACAACCATATACTGTACTACAAATACTTTCTTCAATGAGAGCTGAGAGGGACTAGCTGTGGCAAGAGTACATTTTTCTTGGTCTGGATCCATGACTATATCAGTTTATAGAACTCCCATTATGAAAATTCCCTCCAGTCATGCAGATCAGCAATTCATCCATTATTTTTAGTCTTGCAGCATTTTCTGGGGCACTGAGAGGTTCGATAACTCACCTGTGGTCACACAGGGATATATGTTGGCCAAAGCTGTTTGCCACCATCAAGTAAGACGTCCAGAGAGAAACGTAAATGAAGGAATTCCCTAAAGGTGGTGAGGTCCTCCAGATGCTTCTGCTTGTGGGTTACAATGCATTGATTGCATCAGGCCCCAGAACACTATATAGACCATATAGCCTTATATAATAAGACAATAATAAAGCAATCCAGAACCATTCAAAAGCATCTATCCACACGATAAAAACCAAGTGGAAGAAAAATGCCTATTGTTCAGACTCTAACATGCAGTTGGATGGACAAGTTACAGAGCTGGTTCATCAGGACACATACCTAGGACAGACACTGTGTGGATAGTCAGATAGCTGGCCCAGAGAGCTGAAAAGGAGGAAATATGCAGGCTGGATTGCCTTGGGTAAATTATTCACGCCTTCTGATAACCCCAATTTTCTTTCTGACACAAAGGTCTACTTTTGGACAATATTCTTCCTGACTTTCCACGTAGCAACTAGGTGTGCTAGTAGGGCACAAGACTTGGAGTCAGGAAGACTCAAGTTCAAATCTTGCCTCAGATACTAACTTGGCAAGTCATTTAACATCTCCGGGCCTCGGTTTCCTCATCTGTAAAATGAGGGGATGGACTTGATTACCTTCAAGGTCCCTTTCGTCATCAAGTCTATGATCCTGTGATCTTGTAGGTCATGAAATACCACAGTCTCCAAAGAATTAGTCACCCAAAGGGCAACTGAGAAGTGGTGGTAGATCTAAGAAGACCAAAATACATTAGCAACAAATACTTATGCAGGAAGAGCAGCATAAACGATATTAGAGAAACCTAAGACTGGAAAAAGATGGATTGGTCATGAGGCAACATCAAGGGATAATTGGCAGACGTGTCGCCATGCACTCCATTAGTATCCACACAAGGCCAAGTAAACTAGAAGAAAGCTCTAGCACTTGGTTGTACTCTCCACGGTGAACTTATAAGAAGACATGAATCAATGTCCCACAATTGGGCAGTTGCTATCTCCATTGTCAGAGTGAGCTGCCTACATCAGTGAGATCACAGGGCCATCTGAGAAACACCTGCGTATTACAGAAATACTATTAGAGGAATTGAAGTATGTCTAGATCAATATTGTCAATAGAAATAATATCCAAATACAGAGTGAAATTGCAGTTTGATGAAAGGGTGACTCCCCAGTTCTCCTTGGAGAGGCAAATAAGAAAACTGGCAGATTTGGTTTCATCACATGTTCTAAGGCACTAAGAAATATATCACGGGACACCTGGCTGTCTCACCTTACATTGCTCTTAAGGAGCATAAGCAAAAACACCAAAGAGAACCGTGACTTGAGCTTCAACATTTGTGGCAGAGGATGAAGAGGCAGAGGAATTTTAGGACGACCAGGCAAGGCCCTCCAAGTTAAGTCACATGAACCTTGACAGGCCATGACTACAGTGTGAAGGTAGACACAGGACACTTTAGTTTTAAGAAATGAATAAGGCCAAAGGTTTGTAAACCATTAATTAACCTGCTGCCCACATGGCATAAATACTTTGAGAGTCAGAAGGTATTGGACAGAACAAAAAATGAAATTTACTTCATCTTATCAGACTGCCTATCCTATTATCAAACCTGTCTCTCCTATTTTTGTGCAGGATGCCCTTAGTGCATTGTACATGGTGTGCTTTCTTGGCTGTGAATATTGTGGGTTTGTTGTTTTTTTTCTAAAGGGCATCAGTAGGACTTTCAAAGATAAAAAGATGAAGGTTTTGCA